ATCGTGGAAGGCCTTAAATTTCAGTAGTCTATGAGTGACATAGTAGAAGAGCCTGATGCCAAAAGAGTATTGAGGAGTGGTGCTGCGAGATGACCCTATGTTTTCTGAAGTCTCCCTCACGGTGCAGAGGGAGTATATAGAAGGCAGGCAGGTCCAAGCACATACATCAAGAATGACACTACCCTGAAGTGCTAAGACGACTACGCAAGTAAGCAGCAATCAGGTTTGTTGTAGTTAAACAGTGGGCAACGGTATAAGCATGTCCGCAGCTGCTGTTTGCAGACAATAATTAAAAGAAAGAGTAGAAAAGGTAGGAGGAAGAAGCAGAAAATAAGAAACAGATAACTTCAGTGGAGTCACAAAAAGGGAGTTATAATTGCACTATGGGGCAAGACACACTTTGCAATTGCACTTTGGGAGCCCGACCTGGCCAGCAAGCTGGGTTGTATACATATTGCCCAAACTGCAATTTGAAACTGTATCTTGGCCCATAAGGCAAATAAAACTCATGTTTGTTACTTTTGCGTAGTCCCCCCCCCAAAAATAAGAAAGGAAACAACCATTTGGACGCCATAGCAGGGTGGATACAAAAAAGCAAGTACTTGTGTGAGTGTGCCCTCAGTGAGGGCGTTACAACGACCTTACTGACACACGAGAGAAGGGAGGACGGGAGAGCGGGATGCTACATTGTTGCTGGTAGTAGTGTGAGTGTGCCCTCTGTGAACCTACTGTCAGTAGTTCGTGGAATGCGCCCTGCCTCGGTGGCAGGGCACTATGAGAAATAGAATGTCGTTCGATCGTATATTTGAACGCAGAACAGCTCCCTAGGTTGGATTTGAACCAACGACCCTATAGATAGGGTAAGCAGTGTGTGAATCTTCGTCAAAACCATCAGTACACAAGACTCCCTTTGGCATCAAAGTTTCCATAGTACATGAAAATGGAAGGGAAACAGTCAGTAGTCTTGCCAAACTGATGGAGATCCGTGTGCTTGGAAATCTTGCACGCATGGAATGTTTACACACATGTGGGACTCGTTCAAAGAGATGGTAAATATGGGAATTGTAGTAGAATATATTACTGACTCTGGTTTGGAAGAGAAAAACTCAAAAAGAGTTTTCAAATTATCTTGCCATATATTCCTGTTCAAAGTATGCTACGAAAAACAATGTTGCCTTACAAAGATCCTAAATTTCAACAGCGCTGGATCTTTGAGATGAAATTATTGAATCCTAAATTTTTGGAACAGATTGACTTGATATTGCAATCAAAACAGAAACTCAAGGTTCTGTCAGGAACACCCACCAAGGAGATGCAGCGCCCAACAAGTCTTGCCAAATAGTGGCAGCGCCACTCCAGAATCTCACTGGAACCGCAGATCAATCTCCCGTTTTATTCGCCCGCTGCCCAACGAAGTCTTGCCAAATAATGGCAGCGCCACTCCAGAATCTTTGAGTCATTGGAACCGCAGACCAATCTCCTATTTCATTCGCCCGCTAGATTTATTCCGAACTTCTCTCCCACATGCAGACTCGTGAGGAGTAATACATGCACTCCTCAGTTGGGGTGAACAAAGCTCCTGACGCTTTTTAGGGGTGATGAAACCTTAATCAGGGCAGCGCCAAACAAGGTCAGGGTTTTGAAACCCTAGCATACAACCAGCAACAAGTTTTAGGGTTACAACCCTGAAGTGTACATTAGGGTTTTGTCAACAACACCCACCAAGGAGATGTAGCACCCAACAAAGTCTTGCCAAATAGTGGCAGCGCCACTCGAGAATCTCATTGGAAACGCAAATGAATCTCCAACTTCATTCACCTGTAGATTAGATTAGGGTTCTGTCAGACTTCTCATTTAAGATAGGGTTTCTGTAAAACCCTTAGGCCGACCTCTACCCCAAACGCTGAAGCTATTTGAATCTACTTCCTATCTACCATCTACTTGTATTTTTATGTCCAGCAACAAATTTTCAGAACTATGTTGTGTGTCCTAGGTTTGAAACAAGGATTTATACCTTCTAAGGCCAATCTAGTCAGCAGTTTGGGTTTGCCCAAGTTGTTTTCAGTCAGCATTGTACCTAATTTATGTATGTTTGTCTGTTTGAGATCAGGAAAGTGGGGATCTGGTTTGCGCTGGTTTTATGTTTGAAGCGATCAGTCTACAGAAGTCGGTAGAGGAAAATAGAGTGTTAGGAGAGTCGGTCAGGGTTTGTTAGGTCAATATAGAATGGTAGAAATTGTTTGAAATTGAAACCCTGGTCTCCTTTATGCTTTGCATTTGGTTTATTTATCTCTTCATTAATTAGTGTTAGATTTTCATCTTCTATGAAATATGAGACTTACCTGATTGGGATAAAACCCTAATTAGAGTTGAGTTTGATTAAAGGAAATTAGTTGACAAATTTTGTTGAGTTTTTCACCTAATTGAGCCCTAGCCACAATTTCGCCTACCAACACAACATTACTTGTCGTTAAAACCCTAACTCTAGTTTTATTCTTAAACATCATAACAAATTCATATTAGTGAAGGTTTTACGTGTAAACCGTAAATTCAAATTGCCCTTTTTAATTTTATTTTATTTCAGTTTGAGAAGATCCATTGGCAAGCAAGAGGGGGATGGGAATTGACTTTAATTAAGATAGTAAGGTCAAAGAGAAAAAGGTAGTGATCTGCGTAGCCGAGATTGAACTTGAGATTGAGGAGGTAAAGAATGTTGTAGAGGCAGCTGAAGTTAGCAAATTCAATAGATTTCGCTATTGTATTTATTAAATTGATTGTAATTGTGTATATAATTGTTTTTTTAGAGGGAATAAGAAAAAGTCCTATCCGTCGCGAAGCGGCGGCGAGATCTACTAGGTTCTTCCCTTAAAAGCATTGGTTTGAGCAAAAAAAAGGAGAAAAATAAACGAAAAGAATAATAAGAAGTCAAAAATATAGGAAGGTTTCTAAGCCGAAAAAAACAAATACCACTTATGACACAATTCAACTTTTCCCATTGTATATTCATCAATATTTGAAGGCCAAAGACTCTCCCACTTCGTGACCTTCGAATATCGAAGAATATACGATAGGAAAAATCAAGTTGTGTCATGAGTGATATTTTGATTTTTTGGGTTAGAAGTCTTTCTGTATTTTTTACGTCTTATTATTCTTTTCGTTTATTTTTCTCACTTTTCTTGCTCCAACCAATGCTTTTAAGGGAAGAGTTTGGTAGAGTTTGATGCCGCTCTCGCGATTGATAAAAAATTCACTTATTTGCTCTAAGAAAACAATTATTTAATTACAATCAATTCAATAAATACAGGCGCGAAATATTTTGAATTTGCTAACTTTGGCTGCCTCTACAAACGTTTTTACCACCTCCATGTCAAGTTCAAAGTGGGCTATGGGGATTACTGACTTTTTGCTTTTGCACTTTCTATCTTAATCCTCACACCCCATTTGGCAAGATGGAAGAGTTGGTATAGTATTTTCGCGATGTAGAAACTGATGGAAGGTATGACAAGAGTTATTTGGTTATGGCAGAGTGAATCGGACAGGGATCACTCGTGCCAAAAACGTGCATACCTCGTGGGGAAATAAGTAGACTTGATGAAAAATAAATTGTCCATTATTGAAAGCAAGTTGTTCCCCCTTAGTAATTTCTTCATCGACTTTTCTTTGGATATTAATCTTCGTTTTCGTCCTCTACTCCCCATGCTTGCTCCTACCCCTCCCACTAATTTCCATTATCATTCAAAATCTTATTTTGCTGCATCATTTCAAGGTAGTACCTCAAATAGTAGTTATCCTACCGCTCTGAAGGTGTTGTCACTTCAGCTTGGGGTAGCGCACCATAGGACCCTTGCACAAGCTTCTCGTGACTCAGTACAAGCATAACCTACGTATCCCAAGATAGGAATAGTTGACGAATTCATTAGGGATGGCTCGATAATAGATGTGATAGGCTGGATTGCGTCAATAAGATGTTATCTCAAGATGTTCTTGTTCATAGATTAGTAAGGTGCAGTCGACTGTGACGCTCCTTGGAGGGTCCACACGAAGTGGGCTACTTCTGAACTAGTATGGCCCAGAAGCAGCTCACATATTGTGCTACTAAGGCAGGATTGGATCCGATCTTCAAGGTTTGGAGGGAAGGTTCTCTGATAAAGAGAAGACACATAAAGTTGTAAACGAGCTGATGATAAGGATCCCTCACCAAACTCTATGGGGAATATGACCGTCTTACCTCCACGCCTGACCTTTATATGGTTGAGGAGGATAAAGTGAGCTGGTTTATTTGTACTACTCTGGAGAAATATGTCATGACCCTATACACTGTAGGTCACAAGGATTAGAGGGTCTTTGACAAAGCAGCCTTGGATATGGAGACTATAATCTATGTCCAACCATGTTCCCATAAGGGACTTCCCATAAGGGAAGCATCCCCTCTTCCCAGAGTAAGAGGAAGGGGAAGGAGGGGGTGTATGCTATAGAGTTTGATAACATGGCTACGATCCGGATGTCCAGACCGCCGTCCAGACGGTCTGGATTCATTTCGGACTCCAGACGTCCGGTCTGGAATGTTCGGATCTGCCAAATTTTGAGAAAAAACAAATAAAAAATAGTTTAGGACCGTTCCCATTGAGGAGCGAAGCCCCCAAAATTGTTTTGGGGGTTTTCAGGCCCATTTATGCTTTTTGGGGGGTCCGAACATGCTCTCTCTCTATAATAATTTATTAGACAACCCCAATTTTTTAATTATGCGTAATTCATTACCTTTTATTAGTTTTTTAAGTATTTTTTTAAGGTTCTTTTTATAGTTTTTGACTTTTAACTCGAGTTTGGTTAGGAATTGCTCTGAGGCAAAAGTGGTTTGCATTATTATTATGCATAACATACTTTTTTTTTCATATTTTTTATTTTTATTTTGTTTAATGGTCCGGACATTTCCGGACCTGTCCAGACATCCGGACCGGATCCCCCCATGTCTGGAGGTTCTGAAATGTGTGGAATTCCAGACGTCCGGAAACTATCGGACATGGGTCCGGGTCCGGTGTAGCCATGTTTGATAATGACTTTGCAAGCCCTAACCAGGAGGGATCTACCCCCCTAGCTGGTCAAGATGCAGAAGTCTCACCAGATCAGGTTGCATTGATGCCCTTCACCAAGAATTTTGGTCAGTTCAAGAGATAAAGGTGTTTCAGTCGTAAAAGTTTGGGCAAACATCCCAGTGGACCTAAAAAACGAACTTACCAAAGTTTGTCAAGTGTCCAACCAATCCCATTAACCCTTCCTCTTTCCCCTTGAGAGATATAAGGATTCAGAGAGTGTTTGGCGAAAAGGAAGGATGAGGGGGATTACATCAGGTGTGTATACAAACATTTTTGTGAAGGAGTACCCTACCTGGGGTAACAACGGTTCAAAAACTTAAACGAGGTAGGAGGTTGCAACCACCCTTACCGAACTAAACTTATCTTCCTAAGAAGATGGATGAGCCTGTGTGTTAGACACTTGTGAGGCTGCAACAGTCTCAATATTCTCACACATGGAGCCCTTTTTGGATGAGCCCCTGACTCAAGGAGAGTACGATCAACTCTGCTCCCTCTTAGTCGAATTGAAAGATAGAGAAACTTCAAAGTTGAAGTCTGAAGTGATTCTACTCAAACCGCTCCTCAACACGATCGAGCTTAAAGCCCTATTGGACTACGAGGCAACCAGAAACTTCATTTTTCCAAATGGAGTGTGCACCTTAATAAACTACATGTAAACCTGGCGGGCTAGGTGTGCACCTTAATAAACTATATGTAAACCTGGTGGGCTAGACCGAGAAACGACAAAGAGAAGGTGGAATCCGTGGGGGGGGGGGGGGGGTACGGGGGCGGGGAGCCAACCCTCCTGCCCACACATAAGCGTTTCGCAGAAGATGTTGGAGTCAACCTAGACAGTAAACTTGAGATATCACCAAAGCCATAGACTGAGACTAAGAGATGAAAAGGCGGTATTTAAACTGCGACTTACAGAACGAAGCTCGCCTTTTTTTGGGGAGGAAACTACGGGGGAGTCACAAAAATGAGTTGTATTGCACTATGGGCCAAGATATAGTTCGCAATTGCAGTTCGGCCAATGTACACAACCCAACGTTTTGGCCAGGTAGGGTGCCCGAAGCGCAATTATCTTGCCCAGTAGTGCAATTATAACTTGTTTTTGTGACTCTACTGAAGTTATCCCAGTGCGGGGGCCTAATGCACGGACACTAAACAAAAGGGGGGAAAAGGCAAAGAAAAAGGAGCTAGCCCAGCGATTGACAAGATTTGACTCCTGTATCTGAACCTTAATAGACTGCGTGTAAACATGGTGGGCTAGACTAAGAAAAGACAACGAGAAGGTGGTATTTGCCAGGGTGGGGAGGGGTAGGTGGGGGGAAGAGCCAACCCTCCCCCGCAAGCATAAGCGTTTTGCAGACGATGTTGGAGCTAAGCTAGAGGGTAAACTTGAGACATCACCAAAGGCATAGACTGAGAAAGGCCACTGGGCTGACAATTTGACGTTCTCTTTTTTTCTCACAACAAGAACTATATCAAATGATCCATCCTGTGCTGCGAGCGGAACCGCCCAACATCAGAAGCAAAGCCCTACATGACATGCTATCAATGCAATGTCCCAGGATCTGTTTAGCTATGTTTTGCTCTGACGCATTATGCTATCTCAATGCAATATCTCGGTCTCTGTTTGATTGTACCCGGTCCCCCCCTCTTCCCCCCCCCCCCCCCCCCAACACGAATCGGTCGGAATCACATCAAATGCTCCCCAGGTTGGAGCTAGAAGCACAACGGCCCCAACATCAGAAGCAAAACCCTACATGGCATGTTATCAATGCAATAACCCAAAATTTGTTTAGCTATGCTTTGCTTGCATTATGCTATCTCAATGCAATGTCTCGGTCGTTGTTTGACTGTAGCGGTCTTTGTCTTTTGTTTTTCTTTTCCCCCGCAACAAGAATCACATCAAATGCTTCCCGGGCTGAAGATAGAAGTACAACGGCCCCTTGAACTAGAAACAGGACCAATCCGTCATACTGCAAACACAACATGTCTTCCATACATGACATAATCCTGCACAAGAATTGGAACAACCCCTCCAACCACAAACGGAACATGTATTCTGCTATAGACTCAGACCAAGAGCATTTGGACTCTTAGCAAGAGCATAGGTATATGTTCTGGAATCTGTTTAAGCCGCCAGTACCTTTCCCATATGTCGGCTGCGGGCCCTGCATGCTGAGCATTTGGGATGTATGTGGCCGGCTTGCATGCTCGGGGCTGGCCTCCGTGTTAACCGGCGGGCATTTTATTTTTGCCTGGGAATGGTACTTTGCAACGTTATCTTTTTTTTTTTTTTTTTTTTTAGTAAGTTGTGATGGCCTTTCAATAGTGCATGATGTACCACGACCTATTCGTCCGATTGAACAAACCATATCCTTGGCGGCCTGGACGTGTCTGCTGTTATTCTCTGACAAAGAAAACCTGGCCTTACCTTGGGCCGTGCATTCACCAAAGAGGAAAATCCGTGTAGTTTGCTACCCCAAAAGAAACTCATAGAGTACTACAACACTTGTGCCTCTCCCTCCGTTCCCAACATGACCCCAACATGATGCCCCAACCAATCACAAAACGGTAGGCCGCTGGCTCCCCTTCCACAAAGGTGGGATGTGTAATCCAACCGTCCCTTTGTGAGATGATCTACGGTTCGCAGTGGTCCCACATTCACACAGGTAGTAGAAAACTAAACTAAACTACACGGGTGCATGTGGGCCGGGGCCCCGGTAAAAGCACCCATCCATGCTACCCTGGCCCGGCGCGACCAACATTCCATGCTATGGCCGTAATTCTTATGCGCTACGCCACCTGCCCTTCCTTGCCCTGCCTTTGTCTCTGCTCCCGACTGGCGGCGCTCCCTCGAACGGTGTGGTACGCAGTCTGGAAAGTTCCATCGGTGCCAATTACAAGATGTCTTTCTGGCCCTCCTCTTGGTCCAGCACATATGAAAAAGCAATCGCCCTGCCTAAGAAGAGTCAAATTGACAGATAGGCCCCTTGGCCAGTCACGAAAGGAGGGTCACGTTTTCTCTAAGGATAGGACGGTCACCTTTTCTCTAAGGATATCCCACCCCCCCCTTTTTTTCCCGAGCAAACACTTACCGGGGATCCATTCCTTGGGACAACAGTTGTGCCAGCTCTGTTGCAGCTGTGGGACAATCCCCGCCAAGAATTTGAGCAGTCCCGGCGGCATTTGCTATTTGAAGCAAAAAATTAACAGGATAGCTCATCGGGAGTCATCGCACCTTCTTGCTGAACTCCTTCGGGCGGCATGGCGGCGGAGACTCCGCGAGGCACCCTGCGCAGGTTGAAAGGAAAGCTGTGAGCTTTTTGAGGTTCTTTTTCGTTTCACGCAGGGACCCACTTGCGTTTTGAAGGGCTCCCACCCGACCCTATATTTCTGGTGGTGTTGGCCCTGCAGGCCTCGCCTACGACCTATGAATTGGCTTGTTTCTGTTTTGTAGACTTCAAAATATTCGTTTGTCTGGCAAAAGATCTCTTGACCAAACCCAAAATTCTCATCCTTCAGGTCCTAGGAACATCATCCCACAACGCAGTGCTGTATAGTGCTGCATATAATGGGGCCATTCCTACCAAAAGACGAACGACCGCATCTAGAACATTCGATCTAGGTCTTCCTGGTCCATTCATTTTGGCCCTCCTATAGTGAACGGCCTATCTGGGCTGGGTTCCTCGTATGACCCCTGCCCGGTCCATTGATCTTATTTCCTCCGGTCTATAAGTTCGGTCAAACCCCGCTAACCTACTGCCGGTAGTCCACTTCCCATTTCGCGCTCGTCAACTTCCATGGTCCTCGTCAACTTCCATGGTCCTCGTCGTACCCACAATACCCTACCGTGGTACCCCTTGCCTTGTAGGTTGGCCTATTTCGGCCAGAAGCTTTCTTTTTCGGTCGATCCTCACTTTCCACGACACAATTTCTTCCCTGTGCCTATTCACGACCAGTACCGACCTGCGCATTCCGGGTCACGCAGCATCCTCTACCTACCCCATGTGTACAGGGTATGTGCATGCAGGCAGGTAGTGATTCAAATAGGCTCGTGACTGCCTGAGACTGGTGCCCCGGTCACGGTCCACTTCCCATTTCCCGCTCGTCAACTTCCATGGTCCTCGTCGTACCTACAATACCCTACCGTGGTATCCCTTGCCTTGTAGGTTGGCCTATTTCGGCCAGAAGCTTTCTTTTTCAATCGGTCGTCACTTTCCACAGCACAAATTCTTCCCTGAGCCTATTCACGACAAGTACCGACCTGCGCATTTCGGGTCACCCAGCATCCTCTACCTACCCCATGTGTACAGGGTTTGTGCATGCAGGCAGGTAGTGATTCAAATAGGCTCGTGACTGCCTGAGACTGGTGCCCCGGTCACGATCAAAGTGAGGAGACGAGGCATAGTAGAGGGGAGAGAGTGTGTAAATGGAGAGGCGCTACCAAGATCGGTCGGACGCTGATGTGCCGCTGCAGTGAGCGACAGTGTCAAAGGAGGAAGAACAGGTAGATGAAGGAGGAGAAGGAAAAGAAGGGAGAGGAGAAAGGAAGAAGAATAAAGTGGAGGACGAGGAAGAAGTAGGGAAGAGGAGGGGGAAAGCTAACGAGAGGAGGTTCAAATAGGAGGGGGCTTAGCCGTCAGGAGTTCCGAGGGTGAAGCGCGTTTCCCAAGAGATCATCATCAACAAACAGCGCGCTGAGGTAAGTTGAACCCTGTTTCCCTCCCTATGAACAGCTCGGCTCCGTTGTTTGTTGTTTTCGGGCTACCCCTGTCGTGTCACAGCATGTACGCATTCGTCGTACTTGTTGGTGAGTCAAATCAGGAATGACACGGGTGCGCCACATGGAACACGTTCACCACGTGTGATTGGTTGGCCTGCCTCTGTCACTGCGAAGGACTCTCATGATGAGCGACACGTGGGCTACCACACGTAACACGTTTGGCGTACCATGTTTGAATTCAATTTTGTGATTTGGTGATGGGAGAGTTTGCCCACTGCAATCGAGACGCCTTCCTGGTTAGTTTAACGTGGCTGCTTGTACCGAGGACTAGACCAGGCAGCGGCACGTGGC